ACTGTTTTCCATAGTGGATGCACCAATTTACAATCTGACCAACAGTACTTGAGGGTTCCCTTTTTTCTATATCTTCACCAACACTTGTTATTTCTTGTCTTTTTGACACTAGCCATTACGACTGGTGTGAAATGACATATTGTTGTGGTTTTGATGTGCATTATGGTTTTGATTTCCCCGATGAGTAGTGATGTTCAGCATCTTTTCATGTGTCTGTTGGCCATCTGTATGTCTTCTTTAAAAAAATGTCAATTCAGGTCCTCTGTCCATTTTTAAATCAGATCATTAGGATTTTTAGTGTTGAGTTGTATAAGTTCTTCATATATTTTGGAGATTAACCCCTTATTGGATATATCATTTACAAATATATGAATATGTCTCCTCAGGCAGGGAAAACAAAAATAAAAATAAACTATTGGGACTATGATGAAATAAAAAGATTTTTTGCATGACAAAGGAAACAATCAACAAAAAAAAGCAAACTTTTGTTTTGTTTTGCTTTTTACATTTTTGCAAGTTTCTCTAGTGTGTACTGTAACAGAAGACAGGGAGATTCTCATACCTGTGGCTGCATTCAATCTTCTGTGATATATTTTTAAACCTGAGAAAAGGACTCTTTTAGACAAGGAGATTATTGAACTCTTCCTCCATTAGCACAGTCCAGTAACTGGGATTGTGAAAATTGTGAGAATTTTGCAGGAGAAATCCAAATTCACACAGATATGTGGTTGGTAAAGGGAAGGCATCATCAGACCTCCTGAATGGGTTTCTGAGGTTCTTGAAACATACTTTGAGTATATAGAATATTATTAATCGTAGAATGTACTCCAAAAAGCATAAAAATTGCCATGCTTAATTGTCTAAGACATGTCAACATGTCTAAGACTTTCAGAATTTTTTTTTATTTTGCCCTGAGTTATCCTGTATTATTAACTTTAGTCTTTTATTTAGTTATCTCCTCTTACTGTGAAAACAAGAAGAAAATCAAAGTAGTGCTTTCCATTCTTCCAACTTCAATTTTTCACTTGGATGTTCTTTAGTAAGGGTTATAATGCTTATAGATATCCAGCTATGAATTAACTTTAGGAAATTATCTGAAAATTATTTACTTCAGCTTTTATTGTTTTACTTTCTTATTTGTTCATTATATATTTTTTTCTGGTTATAAAAATCCACAGATGAAGTTGAAAATTGTGTAATGACTACTGAAAGCAATTTGATTTAGTCCTTTTCAATCAAAATTATATATGCATTTACTCTTTGACATATCAATTTTACTTCTAGATAATTAACTCGAGCATTGATTGCACTAGATAAAAATTGTAATAGATAAATATTTGGATATTCTCAGGTGACATACACATGCCCAGTAATTTATCCACGTGGTAGAAGAGTGTGTAATTTGAACAGGAGTGAGAAAGTTCTCTGCATAGTAACATGAATATATCCCTTACATGTATTATTAATTTGAGAAAAGAAGCACAGTACAGAAGAGGGTATATTTTGTAAAAAGAAGGAAACATAAAAAAAATGTGTGTTAATATTTGCATGAAATTGCAGGTAATTAATTAAGTGGTTAAGGAGGAAAGGGGTAAGGTACTGTTGGGAGGGGAAGGTCAAGAATTTTAAACAAAATGTATTCCACTTTCTGTCTGTATAATTTTGACTTCTCTAAATACATAGTAAGCGGAATCATAGACTATTTGTCTCTCTGTGACTGGTTTATTTTACTTAGTATAGCATCCTCAAGGTTCATCCATGTGTAATATATGTCAGAATTAAATTTTTAAAGCTGAATAATATTCCATTTTGTTCCTGTATGACAGTTTGCTTATCCTTTAATGCATTGATGGACATTCAGTTGCTTTCACTTGTAAAATACTGTGAATAATGCTGCTATGAATATGAACATGGCTGTACAAATTCCTCTTTGAGACCTTACTTGCAATTCACCTTCCATGTCTTTCCCTGGAAGCTTCAAACCTTCAGTAGACTCCAGAGATCCAAGATAGTTAGATTAGACAGATTCTGCAATTGCTGCCCAAGTGGGGAGACAGATGCCTGGTGCTTACTATTTTACCATCTTTTTCAAATCCTCCCTAATGCTAATTTCTAAATGTCACACAGCCTTAAGAGTGAAAACAAGGAAAAGTAAATAAGAAAGGACCATGAGCCTTAATTTTAGTAGTCTTCTGCCAGATAAAGGATATACATGTGAATTTATTTGATGATATATATTTTGGCCAGATCTGAATAATCAATGAGTTATGAAAGAGTAGCTTTCCTGACAGTGGTGGTGATTGGGGGTGGGGAGGTTGTTATCCTCATCCTGAATAAATTTGGGGGATTATTGGTGGTGGTCAATTTGAACCACATGAGTATTCCATAGTTAATACTATGTTCTTCATCTTCTGAGAAATATTTAAGGGGTAGTGTGTGGAGGAAGACTGCAAGACACAAAAGACATGTGGGATTGCTGGATGCTATTGTTGATGAAAGGGAATTAAGCTGTCAAATTAGTGGGATCTTTGGTGCCTGAGCAGCCAATGCTATTGTTGATGAAAGGGAATTAAGGTTTCAAATTAGTGGGATCTTTGGTGCCTGAGCGGTCAATGAGGGAAATTATAACATGAAGTTGGACCAAAATCTCCATTTAAGTCTGAGTTCTGGAGCTACCTCCCTCCACATTCTCATGTTTCTTAAAGCCAAAGAATGAGAACTGAAACTTACCAGAAAATATTGACTACTTAATATATATAGAATATAAGTCTTTGTAAAGTTATTAAAACTAGATATTTCAGATACAGTCAAATTAAAAATGTATTTTTAAGAAGTTAAAGTAGAGTAGAAAAATATACTAGATATGGGTCTTATGAGATAGCAAGAAATTTGGATGAAATATAATTGTAATCCCTTTTAAAATTATTTAGTCCAGGGGCACCTGGGTGGCTCAGTTTGTTAAGAGACTGCCTTTAGCTCAGGTCATGATCCCGCATCAGGCTCCCTGCTCTTCCCGGAGCTTGCTTCTCCCTCTCCCTCTGCCTGCCACTCCCCCTGCTTGTGCTCTCTCTCTCTCTCTCTCTCTCTCTGTCAAATAAATAAGTAAAATCTTTTACAAAATTTATTTAATCCAAATCAATAACAAATTCAAAACCAGTGAGGCAATACACATAAAAATGCTCTATAGTCTTAACGATGCCTAAAAAATTCCCTGAATATCTTGGCATCAGAACTAGTGAACATCTCTGCAGGTTTTGAATGCTATTATTCTTCAGAATAGTTCTGGAATTACTCTTAAAAGTACCATATAAATATGCAATAGTAATATTGTTCGACAAATCCACGCTGTAAGTAAGAATGCACATTTCATGTGCAGAGTCATTGTATCATAAAATGTATCATAAAATATCATTAAGATTTGTCAATTCTTACAGATCATCCAGCATATGCAGTTTACACTATAGAAAAGAAAATCATGATAAAGAATAAATAATTTGTTTCAGTTAGTAAAAATAATTGGACAAGAACTGGAGCATGTGATTCTCCATTTTGAAGTTTTTCTAGTTACACAAATACTTTACTATAGATAGAATTTCTATTGAAGAGTTCATTTGCATTCTAATTATCTAATGGGTTAAAAATATTTATTGTTGTAATAAAAAATAGTCATTGTGCTATTGCAACTATGTTTATTATAACAAAATGAAAAGCATTACATTTTGATTAAAGTGTTCTTTTCTGTAATTACAAAAGAACTAAAACAAGATACAGAAAGTCAAATTTCAGTGTACTTAAAATGCAGAGTTAATGTCTGAAAACAGTCCATCCTATTGTAATACTTGTAATTATTATGTTACTTTAGAGACAGCATGTCAGATCATGTCCCTTGTATCTAAATTCATAAAGGCAGAAACTTGATTTATTGTGCTTAATTGCTAAGATACATATCAGTTCCTACCCCTACCATCAATGGCAAAAATATAACATCAATGCTGATCTGAATGCTATTGTAAAGATATTTAATTATTATCAAACTTCTAAATGCCTGTCTGGTCATGTTGTTTAGGATATATAAAAAACAATTCTATTAATATAATTAATTTTAGGAATATTATTTTGTCGGATTCAATTGAAAATCATAAAAGTGCGCATTAAATAAAAATTTATGCTGTACTTTGAAATTTGGCATCTATTATGGATGCTATTGATTTGTTTATTGCAAACAGTACATTTTAGTAACAGTTTCAACATGTCCAAAATGTGCAGCATATACAGTTTTTGCAATGTAATTAGTTAGAAATTGGGGAAGTTTAATTTTAAAATTGAATTGTTCATGAAAATCTATTTCATACTCTCTATGGCTTGAGCATTTTCTCTTCATAAAATGTTCTATAGTTGTGTGAAGAAATTAAGTGCAGTTAATCAGAAAGAACATTATAGTTTGACACCTAATTCGAAAGCCCTGTCTTGAAGCAGTGAATGATTGCTTATAGAATTACATATACCGATGAGGACCCAAATAGGAAATCCATTTATGCTCCAAGTAGATCTCAGTGTTGATGTCAGTCAGGGTGGTATTGTCTGTCTTTTTGTGAAAAGTATTTCATAAAAGTATATATATAAAAGTATATATAAAAGTATATGATCCAAGAGCTTTTCTTGGATTCTTATATATAAAATAAAGTACATATAAAAGTATATATATATATAAATTTGTTAAATGTCTCATTTCTCATTTAGTTTGATAGGTTAAAATAATAAAATAACATTAGCATGAATTATTTAATTATTGTACATTGGAAGGGAGATCAGTAGTCTTAAAGTCATCTTACAGTGCAACCAAGTCAGTCCTGTCGATGTAGTACAGAGGTAAGAGAACAAGTTCTAAAGCTTAGCATTTTAACAAAAACAACAACAAAAAAGTAGTTGTAAGAAAGTCCCAATGGTGTTGATGAAATGTTTTTCATCTCTATTTCATCCATGTTCATCTCTTTTTTCAGTGCCACCAGTGATCACAATGCCTCAGAAATCCTTTAATGCCACAGCAGAGAGAGGAGAAGAGATGACATTATCCTGCAGGGCCGCTGGCTCTCCTGAGCCCTCCATCTCCTGGTACAGGTAGGTTACGCATGCACGTCCTTCTGGCTTGTGTCCAGAATCAATCTCATGGAAAAAGATTTCTGATCTTATTTTATCAGACTAAAAGCACTCTTTTGAATTTTATTAAAAGGTTATGGTGGTTTTGTTTTCAGTTAAATTGGTTAGATTAAATTGTTAAAGAGATTAACAGAGTGATTTAATCCAAGTCAAAGGCTACACTCATGGTGCTGGTTTTTCTTTGTATGAGGCATGTTTCTGGCCAAAATGGGCCCAGAAGCCCAATGACTAATTCAACCGCATTAATGTTACTGCTAGAAAGTATCTAGAAATACGAATGCTGGTATTAATGGCTCCACCATCATATGTATCTAAAAACCATTTTATTGGAATGTAATTGTATATCTTAATTATGTACCATTTTATTCAGGAAAACTAATTATGTACAGTTAAATTTCCATAAATATAATGTCATTTTTAAAAAGCTTACTTCATCAAATGAATAAACTCTCTATTCTCAATCTGTTCTTTGACAGTTTACTTTTATATATTTCTAAGGAAATTTTCAATGTTATGTGATTTCTATTAACCATCAAACAGATATCAACGTATTTCATTCTTTTATGTTATGGCTCTAACTGTTAAAAAGGAGACAATGAAACTTCACAAATGGACAATCTTAAAAATAATCTTAGTTATTAATTCAGGTTACCACTCAAGCATAGCTATGGATATTCATAGAATCTCTTCACTTTGTAAACAGTGTAAGAATAATCACAAGAAAACAATTAGTAGAAATATATTCACATTGGCAAAAAGTAGCCATAGTGAGGATTAGGTTTCTTCAAAAAAACAATTTTAAGAAGAATAATTGCAATCCAATTCCCTTTTTTTCTATTTCTTCCTGAGCACTTACTGATATTCTGCATGTTTCAAACCTTTGTCCATTTTAATACAGCAGGTAACAATAAACAAGATATTTCTTCAAATAAGGTAAATAGATGTTCTTTGCAAACATTAATTCCTTTGTGACATACTGTTGGTATTTTCTAAAGGATTACACATCAAACATTAACATATTCACCCCAGATAATGATCCTGTTATCTCAGAGACTTCTGGTTTCTGGTGTGTATCGTTAAGAGTCAATATTACATCTAATTGCAGCACAGAAAAGCTCTTGGATCATTCATTACAATGAACAAATATTGTTCTAGAATCTCATTCTCATCATTTTATCTTTCCAGAGAGACTTCCTTCTGTTTAGATTTCTGTCTTAAAGTTCAACATTTGTTCAAAATTCTTATATTTAAGTGGAAACATAAATATCATACAGGCTAGAATAAATCAAATGCAGAGGTTAACATAGTAAGTCATGTAAATCTATAATTTTGTAATCATTATATCTTCATATGGCATTTGTTTCATCCCTTTAATGGTGTAAATAATAATTGTTCTTATTCTCTGGATATTTAATATACAGTCAGAGAATGGGAGTATATGATAGTGATACCGACAAAGCTAAAATTAGTATTAGAGGGAAGTTTTTATTTTGACATATTTATATGTAGATACAAGCATGTTATCCTTGCTGAAAGAAAAAAAAATCCTGTAATCATTAGGTAGTATAGGGCAGCAGTCCAAGGAGAAAGACTACCTGTTACACAGAGATGATATTTCCAAGGGATATGAGTGAAGCCAATAAAGAAAACGGTTGAGGACCAAACAGTGGGGAAAAATAAGTTTTCACAAAGAGAATCAGGAGCACTTGGTGACATGGAAGCTAAAGTGGGAATAAAAGTCGCTACTCTAGAATATCTCTACCTTCATTCCATTCAAATGCTTCTTCTACATCTTTTGAGAATATTATATGGATTTTTATCGTTAGCCCACTAATCAGTGAATTCCATTGATTTTCAAATGTTAAAACAGTTTCACATTCCTTGAATTGAACCCACTTGATTATCCTATATTGCCCTTTTTATATATTGCTGGAGTCACTATGCTAATAATTTATGAAAATTTTTGCATTCACGGTTATGAGAGATACTGTCTTTTTGTGTTTTTATTCTTGAATTGTTTGGGGTCAGAGCAATACTGACCTCATAGAATGAGTTAGGGAAGTGTTTCCTCTTTTGTTTTCCGGTAGAGTGTATATATATAATGCCTATTATTTTTTACTTAACTATTTGGAAAAATTTCCAGTGAAACAGTCTGTGCTAGGACTTTTCTTATGTAAAGGTTTAACTACAAATTCAAGTTCTTTCATAGATCTAGGTCTATTCCAGTAATATCTTTGTCTTTAGTGATCTCTGGTGATATATATCTTTCCAGCAATTTGTTCATTTCATTTCAGTTTTTTTACTAACATAAAGTCACTTACAGTATTCTCTTATTTTACTCATGATTTGTGCATTGTCTATATTGGTCTTCCCTCTCTCATCCTGATAACCTGGTAACTAGTTATTTGTTCTCTCTCTTTTTCATCCTGATCAGTCTAGATATAGGTTTATGAAAAGAATGATCTTTTCAATGATCAGCTTTTGATTTCAGTTATTTTCTATTTTGTTTTTCTATTTTCTAGTTCATTGATCTCTGCTCTTATTTTCATTATTGTCTTCCTTTTGTTTACTTTGTGCTTAATATTCTTTTTTAGTGGCTTAAAGTGGATACTTATGGCATTGATTTCAAGCATTTATACTTTCCTAATATAAGCATACATTTTTCCCTTTAAATAATACTTTAATTGCACCTTATTAATTGTAATATGCCATTATTGTCTAGTTCAATTATATTTTTTAAAGATTTTATTTATTAGAGAGAGAATGTGAGTGTGAGTTGGGGGAGGGGAAGAGTGAGAGGGAGAAGCAGGCTCCCCGCTGAGTGCAGAGGACCCTTAGATCATGACCTGAGCTGAAGGAAGACACTTAACTTCACTGAGCCACCCAGGTGCCCCTTTATCAAATATTTTTATTTTTTTCTTGCAATGTTATTTTGTTTGTTTCAAGTTTTATTTAAATTCCAGTTAGTTAACATATGGTGTAATATTAGTTTCAGGTGTAGAATTTTAGAGATTCATCACTCACATATAATACACAGTGCTCATGGCAAGTGCCCTCCTTAATCCCCATCACCCATTTAACCCATCCCCCTCACTGCCCCTCCAGCAAACCCCAGTTTATTCTCTATTAACAGTTAAGATTCTGTTTTATGGTTTGCCTCTCTCTCTTCCCCCCCCCATGTTCATCTGTTTTGTGTCTTAAATTCCACATATGAGTGAAATCATATGGTATTTTTCTTTCTCTGACTGACTTATTTCACTTAGCACAGTACGCTCTAACTCTGTCCACATCATTGAAAAACGCAAGATTTCATTGTTTTTGATGGTTGAGTAAAATTCCGTTACACACACACACACACACACACACACACACACACACACACCACAATTTCTTTATCCATTCATCAGTTGATGGACATTTGGGCTCTTTCCATAATTTGGCTATTGTTGATAGTGCTGCTATAAACATCAGGGTACATGTGTCCCTTCAAATCAGTTCTTGTAATGTTATTTTTGACATTGGTTATTTAGGAAGTTGCTGATTTGTTTCCAAATATGTGGGTATATTTCATATGTATTTCTGCTCCTAGTTTCTAACTAAATTCCTTAATTGTCAAAAACATACCTTGTATGATATCAATTTATTTAAATTTATGATCTATATTTTTAAATATTCTGTTACATACAGAACATTTATATATAAACATAATATCTATATTCATTGTATGGAGTAGTCTCTAAATATCAAATAGGTCAGCAAGTTGATTCGTATTAACATTTCATACACCCTTACTGATTTGACAACTATTGTCTATTTCTGTGCTCAGTTCTCTCTGTTTTGTTCTATGTCTTTTAAAGCTCTGTTACATGTACAAACATTTATCAGCATCAGATCAGTATTACCAAAATTATTAAAGAACTTTGTTTAGGAATAAAATGATACGAGATAGAACTTCGGGTCCTTTTATCTCTGTTTTCAATTTTTCATGTATTTAAGTTCACAAATTATATTGATATATTTTCAAGTTCATTGATTTTTTTCTTTTACAATGTTTAATCTGCCTTCAAATCTACCAGAGTATTTTTCATCACTCTATTTTTTTCTCTCTTTAAGTTTGATGGAGTATTTTGTTTTTGAGGTAAAATTGGTATATAACATTATTAGTTTCAGGTATATATCATAATAATTTGATTTTTGTATACATTACAAAGTGATCACCACAATAAGTCTAATTACCATCTGTCACCATACAATGTTTTCCCTTCACCGATTTCACCCACCCCCTAACTGCCTTCCCCTTTGACATCCACCAGTCCATTCTCTGTATCCATGAGATTGTTGTGTTTGTTCATTTCTTTTGTTTTTTAGGTTCCATGTGTAAGTAAAATCATATGGTATTTATCTTTCTCTGTCTGACTTATATCACTTAGCATAATACTTTTAAGGTCCATTTGTGTTGTCACAAATGGCAGATCTCCTTTTTTTCCTGTGGGATTTTTCCAGTTTTCTTCTTGTAATTGATTTCTAGTTTCATATCATTGTGGTCAGAAAAGATGCTTGGTATGATTTCAGTCTTCTTAAATGTACTGAGACTTGTTTGTGGCCTAATGCCATTTATCCTGGAGAATATTCCATGTACACTTGAGAAGAATGTGTATTCTGCTTCTTTTCGGAGGACTGTTCTGTATATATATCTATTACGTCCATCTGGTCTAATGTGTTGTGTAAGGCCAGTGTTTCCTTATTGATTTTCTGTCTGGATGATAGATCTACTGGTATAAATGAGGTATTAAAATTCTCTACTACTGTTGTATTGCTGTCAATTTATACCTTCAGGTTTGTTAATACTTGCTATATATATTTCGGTGGTCCTATTTCTGTCCCTTCACTTTAAATCTCTGTGTGCCCTTAGATCTGAAGTGGGTGTCTTATAGGCAACATATCAATAGGTCTTGTTTTAT